TTCTAGAAATCATCCTTTGAATAAACAAAATAGCAAAACAGGATCTTTTTAAAACTAGTCCGTTTATGGTTTCTTTGTGAATGTTGAACTGCTTTAAGAACCCTCCTTCAAATGAAATAAAATAATAAAACGTAATCTTGCTGGAAGTAATTCCTCTATGATTTGTTTGTGAATGTTGAACTGCTTTACAAATCATGTTTAGAATGAGAACATAATACTAAACCACAAGCGTGGTGAGATCAATTCGTTTATCATTCGCTTCTAACTACTCAACGTCTTTCAAAATCCTCGGCGAGTGAAACACAATACTAAAATATGATCTTAATGGCATTCATTCGTCTATGATTTGTTTATAAGTGTTAAACTGCTTTTGTAGCTCTCTTTCAAATGAAACAAAATAATAAAACGTAATCTTGTTGAAAGTAATTCCTCTATGATTTATTTGTGAATGTTGAACTGCTTCTCAAATCATGTTTAGAATGAGAACATAATACTAAACCACAAGCGTGGTGAAATCAATTCGTCTATGATTTGTTCGTGAATATTTAACTGTTTCAGAAATCCTTCATCAGATGAAAACAGAATACTAACACACAATCTTAGTGAGATCGATTCGTCTATGATTTGTTTGTAAATGGTAAACTGTTCTAGAAATCATCCTTTGAATAAACAAAATAGCAAAACAGGATCTTCTTGGAACTAATCCGTTTATGGTTTCTTTGTGAATGTTGAACTGCTTTAAGAACCCTCCTTCAAATGAAACAAAATAATAAAACGTAATCTTCTTCGGAGTAATTCCTCTATGACTTGTGTGTGAATGTTAAACTGCTTTAGAAATATTCCTTCAAGTGAAATAAAATAATAAAACGTGAACTTGGTTAGAGTAATTCGTCTATGATTTGTTTATGAACGTTGAACTGTTTTAGAAATCCTCTTGGTTTTAGACAGCATACTAAAACACCATTTTGGTGAGATTAATTCGTCTATGATTTGTTTGTAAATGTAAAACTGTTCTAAGAATGTTCTTGGGAATGAAAACGAAATAATAAAATGCGATCTTCTTGCGATTAGTTCGTCTCTAATCTGTTTATAAATGTTAAACTGTTCTAAGAATAGTCGTCCGAATTGAAACAAAATACTAAAACACAATTTTCCTGAGATTAATTCGTTTATGATTTGTTTGTAAATGTTAAATTGTTCTAGAAATATTCCTGCGCATGAGAGCAAAATAATGAAACGTGATCTTGTTGGGATGAATCCATTTATAGTTTCTTTGTGAATATTGAGCTGCTTTAGAAACCCTCGTTCTCAGGAAACAAAATAGTAAAACGTAGTTTTGTTGGGAGTAGTTCCTCTATGATTTGTGTGTGAATGTTAAACTGCTTTAGAAATCTTTCTTCTAGTGAAATAAAATAGTTAAACCTGATGTTGGTTCGAATAATTCGTCTATAATTTGTTTGTGAAC